AACCCCCTGCCCTGGGCAGGGACACCTCCCACCAGACCAGGTTGCTCAAAGCCCCATCCAGCCTGGTCTTGAACACCTCCAAGGATGGGGCAGCCACAGCTTCTCTGGGCAACCTGTAAAGGCCTGGCCCTTTCCCAGTTGGTTGTGGGAAGGTAGATGGGGGTTTGGCCACTGCTGCTCTTCTGGGAGCTCCCAACAGCAGATCTTAACTGAAGAGCCCAGGGAAACCCATACCGAATTTAGCCATGCTTTAAGGGTGAGGATGGAGCAATGGATCTTCAGGAGTTTGTGGGATTCACTGAATTCATGGAGCAACATGTTTTAAGGAGGGGGGGAAACATGATAGAAAGCAACCAGGTGAGCAAGACGATGCCAGCTCTTGTAAACATAAATCTCACTTTTGGTAAATGCCGTGGTCTCAGACGCCTCAAGCCACATTTCCTGAAGCCAAGTGACTACACAAGAGCCTCAGCTCTCCAGTTCAAAAAGGACAGCCTTTTGCTACCTCTCCTCTGGCCGAGGAAGAACGTGTGAAAACATTAACACAGGGTCACCAGATTCCAACAGAAAGCACGTGGGAGAAAGCAACATTAAACAAAGGTGACAACCCTACGAGCTGGCATCTCACCCCTTTGACTGACAATCCTGGAAGACCTGCAGCTGCCGGCACCTTCCAAGCACTAACTCTGAACTCCTGTAGCCTAAGGCAGGTCTTCTCCCAGCTCATTGTGGAGCCGTGGGGCCCCCACCTCATTTCTCTGCACCGTATCACTGTGCCCAGAAGTCAACCTGCAGAGAAGCTCTGATGCCTTTGAAGAGCAGATTCTTTATGAGGGGAGGAGGAGGGGAAAGAGTTGGAACGACACAAAACCCACCCCTGCGCTTCTCTCCTTGGATGAAAAGCCCATGGCATGATTCTCCTGTCCCTAGAAAAAGCTCTAAAGCTGGAATTGCTTCACAATTCTTCAGGGAAACAATGCAAGAGATGCAGAAAATAATCCTAGGAGAATCTTTGCAAACCTTTATTTTCGGCAGAGGGGAAGGGGGTAGGGGTCAGCTCTTTCCACAGTTTTATTCCCTCTTTATTTGAGTCTCCTCTTTTTTACGACTTCTACTTGTGAAATAGAAGAAAAAGGGGGAAACAGGGAATGCTGTTAAAGAAGATAAACAAACAACATGAAACAAACCTTGCAAAGCCCTTGCAGCAAGCTTTTTTATGTGTGTGCGTGGCTTTTTCAACATTTTTGGAGGGGGTAACTGAGGAGATTCACTAAAATTTCCAAGATGTCGACACTAGATGAAATCGCCTTGCAAAACTTACTGCTAGATGGAAAAGCAGTACTTGTTCTTTTTTTTTTTTTTTTTTTTTTTTTTTTTTGAGGGGAGAGTGGGAAGGAAAATGTTCTGGTGAAACATCCTTAGCTCAGCCTTGATGTTTTTTTTCTGCATTCTGGCACCGTGGCAGCAAACTCAGGCTGGTTACTGCATCCCAGGAGAGGAACGCAACCCTTCTTTCTCATATGGGCTCTGCTCACACATAGTGTCATCCAGTTCCAACCCCCTGCCCTGGGCAGGGACACCTCCCACCAGACCAGGTTGCTCCAAGCCCCATCCAGCCTGGCCTTGAACCCCTCCAGGGATGGGGCAGCCACAGCTTCTCTGGGCAACCTCTTCCAGTGTCTCACCACCCTCACAGCAAAGAATTTCTTCCTAAAATCTCATCTAAATCTCCCCTCTTTCAGTTTAAAACTGTTCCCCCTTGTCCTATGGCTCCACTCCCCGATGAGGAGTCCCTCTCCATCTCTTCTGGAGCCCCTTTAGGGACTGGAAGGGGCTCTAAGGTCTCCCCGGAGCCTTCTCTTCTCCAGGCTGAACAACCCCAACTCTCTCAGCCTGTCCTCACAGCAGAGGTGCTCTGGTCCTCTGAGCATCTTCATGGCCCTTTACTGGACCCATTTCAACAGGTCCCTTTCCTTCCTGTGCTGAGGACTCCAAAGCTGGACACAGCACTCCAGGTGGGGTCTCACCTGGACCTGCTGGCCACGCTTCTTTTGATGCAGCCCAGGATGCAGTTGGCTTTCTGTGAGACGGTGAGACCCCCTGACAAAAAGCACTCCGCAAGAGCTTTTCACTAGCACAGTGCCTCAGCTGGGTCATGAACCTGTGGGGAGGACTTCTCCAGAAGGTGGAAACAGCCATACATTAGATCATGTGTTTTCTAAAGAAGCCCCGTGCTGAAGTTCTTGGCCTGTGCTGCCCATGGCGTGGCTCTGCTCATCATTGCCCCGTGCCACGGCCCTGGCATTGCATCAGCTCATTTATGAAAGACCCAGGAGTCACCAGATGCAGAAGAACTGATTCAGTTTCCTGAGGAGGACGGCTGAAGCCGCATCTTTGCTAAGCGGCGTTGATGGACCCCCCCCAGCGACGCACATCTGCTGGGCAGCTCTCCCTGGAAGGAGAGAAAAACCTGTCTGGAGAGACACCAGAGCAGGAAAAACCCAGTTTCAGCTGTATTTTTGTGTCTATACTGGACATTTCTGGTTTCCCACCCAGTCGTCCCCCCTTTTATCTCAAGGCTTGAGCAGCGGAGGTGAGACAGGAGCCTGCAGCAGAGATTTAGATGGGCAGGTGATGGGGGCCAGGGGTGCACAGGGTGCTGGCCATCACCCTGGCCAGCTGCTGTCCCCGGGAGGGAGCCCAGCTGGCCCAGAGCGGCCAAGCCTCCGGCCGGCAATGGGCCAAAAAAAGCCTTTTGACAGGCAAGGCTGGAGCTGGTGCAATCTAAACATTGGGAAAGCAAACTACCCCGGGCCACCTCGCCAAGATGTCAATGCCTGCACCTCGTGGCTCTGTTCAGGAGCATGAACCTGTTCCAAAAGTCCTCCAAATGCCAGCTGCAGAAGCTGGCCGTGCCACGAAGGGTCTTCCTCAGGGCCATCCTGAGCGTGTGAGACTTGAATCCTTCCAGGTGAGCACAGCCCCGATGATGGTCGAGATCCATCTCTCTCCCTCTCTGCAAGAGAACAAATGCGATGGTCGCCTCCCAGGACAACTTGACAGGGAAATATTCTGAAAACTTGCTCCTGTTGTGTGGGAGCAGCCAGACACGGTGTTAATTTTAGAGGATGACAAAGTCTAGCTGCCCCGTGTGTTCCCTCTCAGCCACGCTCCACGTCTGAGGAAAGAAACCGGTGGGAAAGGAAAGGTCTCTGGTGGGTCCAGGTATAGGGAAAACTGCAGACCTTGAATCCCTAAAAAATTCCTCATCACCAGCAGTAGCATTGCCAGTTCTCCCCCTGGTCCGTGGCATTGAGATTGTTTTCCCCATGTGGCAAGAGCTACAGATTCTTTTTTAAAAACAACAAGTCCCACCTTCTTTTTTGTATTTACTTCCTTTCTGTTTTTCTTTTGGAAATAGCAGGAGTCGGATTTCCTTAGGGCAGTTTTTAGCACAGTTTATAGTTCTTCCAACACTCACATAGAAAGCAGGTAGAATCTTTAATTAAAACATCATTTCTCCCCGGCGTTTGGTAACCCTCATGGCCGTTAACCAAACATTTAAAGGAGAGTCTTAAAAGGGAGAGTTTAAAGTCTGCCTCTGACTCATGACAGCTTTCACCATCTAGGAACATCTCCTGACGTGGGCTCTCTGCTTTAATGCTGTGTTTCAGAAACCAAGCAAGACTCCAGTTCTTAGTAAAACTAAACCACAGACTACTCTCAGATCTCCTCATCCATCACAGCGAAATGAGAAAGGAGAGACATATTTTTTACCCCCCCTTTTTCTGGAGACCTCTAAATCCAGAGAACAACCGGGCTACTGTTATTTTTCATCGTGGCCTTTCCCTCCCTCCCAGTGGTGACAATGCAGCTCACTTTTGCCAGATGCCTCTGAATCAGCCCCGCTCTGTCAGAGCAGGATCAGCCCAGGGATGGACTCTTGCAAGTTCTCAGTTGTCCATCTGCACCTCCTGAGGTCAGCTCCGTCGCTGCGGGGCAGCTGCCTGGGCAGGATAACGTGTGAAGGGGGTATGGGCACACTTCAACGTGACTTTTGACATCTCTGTTCCACTCCCAGGGTGACTCATGTCTCAGCCGGGGGCAGAGATTGAACACGGGACACGCCACGAGTCGGGGAAAGAGCTCAAAGAGGTCCTGGCTGGGGTGATGGCACTAGGGCAACCTCAAGCCTTGATGCTAAGCCTGACCACACGGTGAGGTTAGGAGAACTGCCCCGGGTTTATTCGTCAGGGCCCCCTTTTTCACTTTTAATGGCCAAGGTCTCCTTGGGATAGAGCTTGGATTTTCCTGTCGCTGGCATTTACTGGCGGGCGAGAAGGTTGTTATGGAAAACAGCTGATAGCGAAGCGAGCTGCCGCTTTTTCCTTCCGCCCTCCGCCAAAAGGGAGTGTTTTCTGGTGGAGAAGGGCCAGGATTCATTTTAAAACGTTACAGCCCACATTTTCCAGGCTGTTTTTTTGCCCATCGAGATAACGCACCTATGGAGACGCACGGGCTTTATCCGGACACGCAGTTACGGGCGTGCTTTTCTTTGCAGAGATGTATGATTTATATAGAAATATATATATATGTAGGTCCTCACAGACCCCCTATATGTTTTATGCTGGAGCCCCTTCTTTCCCCACCACCAGCTGCAGAGGGGACGCGGGGACCCACTGCCACCCCCTGACACCCCTTGTTCCGCTTGGGGGGGGGGGATGCGGAGGAGTGGAAACACACACACATATATACACACACATATATATATATACACACACATATATACACACACACACACGTCTCCCGTCCCCCCGCGCAGCGCTGGGCCCTCGGCGTGCGTTGCGCGGGGCCGTGCGCGCAGGGTGCGCGCACGGGGTTGCGCGCCGCGGGGAAGCGAACAGCAGATTGCGGGCAGCCAATGGCGAGGGCAGGCCGAGGTGGCACCAAATTTCCCGCAGCCAATCGGCAGGCGAGGGGGGGG